CGTTACATCAGCCAGAACCGAATGGGAGCTGTAACCCTAAAACACTCTTCTCAGGAGAAGACCAGAGCACTTATGGCATTGTCCGATGAAGAATATCTTCCCAAAAGTAAGGATTTACCTATTGTAAAACAATTTAAGCATACCCTGTGAAAATAATTTATATAAGGATAAAACATGCTGAGCGCTGTTTAATATGATTTTCATATGTATGCAATTGGGTGAGGCTTTATTCCCACTTCCTTTCAACGTGGCCCTGGAAACAATTATAAGGTTATTGAAACAAGAGTGTACTATAGGAGAATCTACAAGAATACTTGGATATGCAGATGACACTGATATCGTTGGAGAAAATGAACTAGAAACTGTTAAAACACTGACTCTCTTAAAAGAATCAGCTCAGAAAATTGGACTAGTTATCAGTCAAGATAAAATATAATGCATCATAATAAATAGGGAAAGGATATAAACTCCGGTCACATACAAGTCTATAACATGAAAATCAAACGAAAAAGAAACATATAAGTTCTTAGGTGCAAACTTCAACTGCTCCAACATGTTGAGAGAAGAAATACAATCTGGAAATTAAGTATACTATGCCCTTCAACGTCTGCTAAAGTCAAAGTGTCTGTCTCGCAACACCAAGATCAAAATATATAAAACGTTGATAAGACCAGTAGTTTTATGTGGCTCTGAAACTTGGAGCACAACTAAGAGATGAAGCCTTATTATAGGCTTTCGAAAGCAGAGTTTCACGACGAATCTTTGGACCCATCTAAGATGCAAACAGCGGGGAATGGAGAATTAGAAGCAACAACGAAATTCATAATCTGTTTAAATCACATTTGATCACTGGCATCATGAGAGCTAATAGACTGAAATGGTTGGGGCATATTGAAAGAATGTCAGATGACAGAGAAGTAACAACTGTATACACAAGGGAGATGAATGGTCGTAGACCACGAGGCAGACCAAGAAGACGATGGAGAGATAATGTCCAGGCAGACTTGCAAACACTTAGTGTCACCAACTGGAAAGAGAAGGCCAACCAGAGAGATGAATGGAGTCAGGTGATTTCTGCAGCAACGAACCTCAGGAGCTCGGAATGCTGAAGAAGAAGATGCAATTGGGTGCGTTGCTGGTAAAATTCGATTTAAATTTATTGTGAGTCTATTTATTTATTATTTGTAGTTTCGTGCAAATTAAATATTTTGTTTAAATAGTGTAAGACATTTGTTTTAGATTTATTTATCTGTCAATCTGAGCAACTGAATGGTACTTCAAGGTAGGTGGTTGTACCCCACCAGGACAGCACACAAGCGATAAACACCATGTGAGACAAAGTGCCACCAGGCGGATGAGGATCACCAGTAGAGAGGTCCCGGAAACCCCTTTCAGTCGTTATCTTTGACTAGGCCATATTTATAGCCCGTCTATATTCAGTCAGGGCCCCCGTCAAAAGCCAGTGTGGGGCTTCAAAATAATAAAACATTGCATACCACGAGGGGACGACTTCATTAATGTTACTTCAACTGACTGACTGACTGACTTTCTACCCCACCAGGACATCACACAAGCGATAAACACCCGATGACACAAAGTGCCACCATGCGGATGAGGATCGCCGTGGAGAGGTCCCAGAAACCGCGTTCAGACATTTGGCCATATGTATGGCCTGCCTATATTGCGGCCCCTGGCAAAAGCCAGAGTAGTGCTTCAAATGACAAAAAATTTCGTCCTAAAAAGGACGAAACTGGATAATGGTTACTTCAACTTTTAACTTCTCTGTTTATACCATAATGGAAATTTACATTTGAATTTCGTCAGTGGTGAAATCTGGCTAATCATTACACATCCGAAAATGGCGACCTAACGCTTATGAGAAGATTCAAGCAAACACTATGAATTTGTCAAGCTTTTTTAAAATTATGCCGGCTTTCTGTTGCACATGTTAGCATTGTATTAAAATTTGCGCGATTTGAATTTTCACCTATAGTGGTAAGATATTAAAAGTGATGACGAACAGAATGTGCGAACGAAAGAATTAATATTGTTGCACAAACTACAAACCAAGAAGACACCTGCCTGTGCCGCTTTCAGCGTTCAAACTCATCAAAACTGATGAGACATTTTTGTTGTAGAAAATGCAGCCATAAAACTGATTCGACATTTGCTGTAAACTTAATATAATAAACTTAGAAGAACGTTTTAGTTGTTCACCTAGTCCAGTTCTGGGGCTTTGACTTGCTCAAATCTTATTTTAATTTTTGCATGCCCTGCATATTATATAATTATATCCATCTAGATACTTTAGTCAAATTTGTAAAATGCCCTCTACATCAATAAAACCAGCACGGTTAGCTGTAAACAATCTCTTTCCAACGGTTCCTCATTTAGGCTTGTATTTAATTTCTGAGCTGAGATATCAGATATGTAGGTTTTTGTGGAGATGAGATGTAAAAAACAGCTGTTGAAAACTTGCGTCTCAGAAACAAGAAGTTTTCTCTGCGCAACCTAACTGCACACTTTCGTTTTGGCTTTGTTTTCAGTGGACAAGATGGCAGACAATTTTTCTCAGACACAGCCACATAATAGCGATTGCCTGAAAAATGTCACTGTAAATCGAAATAGCCACTGATAAGAAAGAAATTAAATACACAAATGTAAAATTGGACGGAGAATTCAATTATAACTAGCATTACCATGTCTGATAATGTTTAAGGCCTAAAGCCAACCTTAAATACTTAGCGCTATTTTCAATAAAATTGATGTAACAGAAAAACAGAGGACGTCCGGCTGTCGTAGACATGCGCTGTTAATCGGGTTCGTTCCCGCCGTTTTCAGCTATTTATAGCTGGTGAAGATCACACCAATCGCAAAATTTCATGAGAGATTAGGACCCATCCCGAAACCCCAGCCGACATTTCCCAAACAAGTTTCGAACAATTTCCGTGGTAATGGAAATTGCCAAAAGATCGCAAATTTCAGAACACCGTAGTCGCTACATACATATATATCCTTTTCTTTTTCATTGTTTGCAGATCCGGCTTAATTTTGTGTGTATGTGTATGTGCAGACTGTTGGCGTTGGTGGCTGTTAGTAGGCTAACTATTAGAGTTTGTAACCATAGAGGAAAATGGAATGAATGATCAGAGTGTATGGAGGCTCAGGAAACACTCAAACATAAATTAGGTAGGGTCAGGATTTGTTATCAAGAAAAAGTTGTGGGAAAGTATTACTAAATTAGACATTTTGAAGCTGTTAGTCTTCTTTTTCTTCTTCACGTTCACCAGCTGTACACTCTGGCGGAAAGTTCTGGTTGCTCATCCACTTCTGAACTGCAGTCCTGCTCCAGAACCTGAGTGTTGCGTGTCGAGTGCATCAATTTTACAGATCTCATTCTCTTGAATACAGACTGTTGGTTCCTTGCCTCTCCAGCAGATGCACTCCGACTTCAAAGGAAGCTCCCCAATTAGTCGACTCTTACGACATGCTTTTGGGGAGGCAGTGGGTCTGTTCTTGTTTTCCCCACAATAGGGCCCCGGAACCTACACAGGGGTGAAGCTGTTAGTGATAGGATCAGCAAGTTAATAAAAGTAAGGCAATGAAAAGACAATGAAAATTGAAAAATATCACAATGATTAATGTGCATGCACCCACTGAAGATAAAGAAGATGATCTTAAAGAAGATTTCTATAATCTCCTTGAAAATATAGATGAAGCTCAAAAACGAGACATATTGATTGTCTTAGTAGATTTCAGTGCAAAAAAAGGAAGAGAAAACACTCTAAAATTTAGCCGGCATGGAAAGCATACCCTGCATACAAATTCAAACGATAATGGATGGAGATTTATCAAGCTTGCCGTAGTGAAAGGACTACAGATAAGCAGCACCAGATTTCAGAGAAAAGATATACATAAACAAACCCTGCAATCATGTGACAAGATAACTTATAATCAAATAGATCACATTTTAATAAATAATAGAAATGCATCGAACATACAAGTTAAAAGCTACAGACCAGCTGAGTGTCATAGCGACCACTACCTGGTTGGTGCACAATTAAAAATCAAGTTAAACAGATTATTCACCACTAGATTACAAAGATCACATCCAGAGTACAATAGAGAAAGATTACAAGAAACATCCATACCTTGGAAATTTGCAGATGAATTGAACTGCTAAAACATAAATTTATTAACTTTTCTTGTCTACCAAAATCACCAGTGGTGAAGGGACTTTGGTCACAGGCATCAAGGTAAGTTAAGACCGTTGAGCTGCAGATAAATGAATACCATGTACTTTCGGTCTGAAAAGGTTCTGTCCAACTGTACCTAATGATCTCATTGTGAACCACCATATATCTTTGTCGAATGACCAGCTTGAACAGAAACATCATTTTTTTTAAAAAATAATCTTCTCCACACAGTATTACTATTTCACCTCTTTGAATTGCAAAAAGAGAGTTTGTTGTTGCAAATTTAAAATCCAGAGATGATACTGTTTAAACAATCAAACGGCACTAAAAACAGTAATAGGCTTTGTTTTCAAATTTAAAATAATATGCAATAGACTGTAATGATTGCATTTAGGGATTCTGAAGTAGCAGTGATGCAATACTCTAATCTTGGTAAATTTTTTTTTAGCTTCATAGCAGATTGGTGATCCCATAATTGCTGGTTCACATTGCCCAACTTTACCTTCAGTATGGAAGTATCAGTAATTTACTTGGTAGTCTCAAACTTTTGGCCACCGCTGTTCTATGATCTCATTAAAAAAAATGAAATATGAGCATATAATTATTTTAAGATACAGATTTTGTGTCCAAAAATTGTTGTTTAGTTATAGTGGACTTAGTTTGGCATGTTGACTTTGAAACATTACATTAGCACAACTGTTGAAATGTTGCCAGCTCCTGGTGTAATAACTGATGTAATTATTTTATGTGAATAGTTTTTGAATGTGTTTTTTTTTATCTCTTGCCCACAGAACACTTTTTAGAATGCCTGAATTACAGATGGATGTGGCAGTGGCCAACAGATTCATCTCAAGCTTGAGTAAATCATTGCAGGCCTTGTGCCATGGCTGTATGGACTTTGACACTGGCATAGAAATTGTTGGCTATATCAATGTCAATATTGATTGTGGAAGCAAGGTAGACTATGTACTTAATGAGAAGGTCTTGAAAAGCACCACAAATTCTATGACTTTTGTAAGCAACAGTTTTCTTGCTAAAAAGGATCAGCCAAAGCAGACACGAGATGGTACATGTTCACCCATCCCAGAGCTAAACCCACCGCCAGTTTCTCCATTTCAGAATCGCTCTCGAGGATATTTCCATGGGACGCATCCCCGAAACATAGCCCCAGTTTCTCACTCTAACGTGCAGCATGGTGCACAAAAGCGCTCGTGGGCAGGTATGGAGAGGGACTGGAGAATGTCTCCAAAAAAGCAAAGAGGTGGAAGACCTTTTTATCCATCAACCCATGAGTCCGGTTCTGCATCTCAGGATACTCATTCAAATAGTTCATCTTCCAGCCATCCTGCTGCAGATTCAGAATTTAAACATCCACAGACCTCATTTCAGGGTTCAGATGCAAGCAACTTTGACAGTCAGTCAGAAGTTAATATTAAAAAGGAATTTCTTGAAAATGACACTAGCAGAGAAACAGGCCTCAATGAGCAGGATCAGTCACAATCATTTGATCAGAATCCAGATGACAGTTCAGATCCAGTTTCTGGTGTTGCCAATATTAAAAGAGATCCAGATGCATCAGCTGCCGACGTTGACGATGAAACATTGGCAGCTGACCGAACTGTTAATGAATCTGATGATTATAAGGACACATTTCTTGAGCCGTCAGCTTCTGAAGATAATCAAGCAGCCACAGAAAATAATAGAACTGATTCAGGTGTACGTGATGATATTCGGACAGTAAGTGGTGGTTCAGCTCCAGAGATTTCTACAGAGGCTGAAGAAAATGTAGCCACAGGCTCAGAAATGCAAGGTGATTATGATGAAGGGGCAGAGGAAGGAGCCTACCCTCAATCTGTTTACTCTGACACTGGTGAGGGTTCAAGTGATGCCGGCCAGTTTGAAGTCATTGAAATCGATGATGAGGATGAAGATGTCCAAGCAATGTTCGGAGGGCCTCGTAAGTATTATTTTTGGTTAATATATTCCTGCCAACCTTATTGAGCATGCCAAACAAATTATTTTACTCTGAATATAGTCAGGCACTATGAATAGGCCATAAAGTGTGGAAAGGCAGAGAATATCACAAATTGATAATAGTTTAATTAGAATGTCTAGTCAATGGACACAACCCGTGAGTAACAGAATTAGAGGGAAACATAAATACACGGAGAAATCAATTAGAGTTTAAGACAAATAATATCGAGAGAACAAGGATAGAGTTAGAATTAGAAGTGGCCAAACGTTGAAAAAAAATATTGCAGCATACCCATGATAGCACATTTTTTTCTTCAAGCTGATATTTGCATGAACGCTAGTGTGACAGTATGGTTTTTGGATTCGATCCACAATTTCTACTTCTGTGGAGTTGGTTAAATTATCATCATCCTGTAGGGCTGTTAGACATCACAGTCTAGTCCTCTATTTTGTTCAGTCCTCTACAGTCCTTTTTATATCATAGATTCTTCCGGTCCAGCACCTTTGGCTTCTCTCAGCGTTTATTTTAGGGTTTCTCTTAGCCTTCCCCTCCTCCATCTGTCCATCTGTTAGTTAGTGATATGCGTCTTGCTGATGACATGGACAGTGCTTAAATTCCACAGGTTTCTGTGGTTTTACTTGTGCTGCACCGAGGGGAAAAGGCAAAAAAGGCAAGGCTTTTTGGAGTAAATTGAGAAACTGATTTTCAGCGAATAGTTTACAGATTTGAATTCATTGTTTCCTTAAATCCTACACACACCCACCCAGAATAAAAGGATATCTTCTTCTTCTTCGCGTTCACCAGCTGTAAACTCTGGCAGAAAATTCTGGTTGTTCATCCACCTCTGGACTGCAGTCTTCTTCCAGAACCTGAGTGTTGCGTGTGCATCCTTTTTACAGATCTGACTTATTTGTTTGCAAACTGCTGGTTCCTTGCCTCTCAGGCAGATGCACTCCGACTTCGAAGGAAGCTCCTAATTATTCGACTTCTACGACATGCTTTCAGGTAGGCAGTGGATCTAGCCTTGCTTTCCCTATAATAGGGCCCCGTAACCCACACGGGGTAAAAAGTTATGTGAAGACTTGCAAGAACTTGAAGAAGAATCATACAAATAAGGCAGAATAAGCTGGAGTAATGGGCAGTTGGGAGCATTTGTAACTGTTTCACTGTTGGGGTTCTTTCTTTTTAAAAGTGCGATATATTGGCCTAACAAAAGAAAATATTGGCCAAACAAAAGAAATGATAGGTAGTCAATTGCATATGTTAACTCCTACTGTTGAATTACCGACTCTTACATGCAAACAGATTTTATTGAGGTGTTTCTCAACAGCAGTGGGATGGAATGAATCTGTCTACCTACCTTGACCACTGTAGTAGCTGTTTTATATCCTTCACACCACATTTATACTATCAGCCATACATGCTGATGTCCCAAGTGAAATGCAAAATGATGTCCATTTCACCTCCAGTCGATGCATGAGCCATTGATCACTCCGGTAGCAAATGATCACTGCAGGAGCACCAATAGATCATAATGATGTGGAGAGAATGGTGCGGCTAGGTGTGACCAGGGGATCTGGCCAACACTACATTTAGAGGAAAGGCAGGTACCTTCATCATTGGAACTCTTTGCTAGCTACTGAAGATGATGATGGAGCGCTTATGGGAGTGTCCTGAGTATTGTGTTATTAGTTCTTAACTCAAATCAATTCAGCTCAACTCTGTAGTAAACAGTTTAACCCGAAGTCGAGCACAGTCTTTGCTGCTCCGCATGCTGCGGCAGATGAATAACACTCATTTTATACACAATAAGTGGATATGCAACCTCCATCTAGAGCAAACCTCACACAGATCTAAGTAGTATTGTTTATTTTGTGTGTGCTGATGAAGGCTCAATAGCCGCAACGTTCACGTTTTGTTTGTATTTGTTATTTGCTAATATACTTTTCGTTCGGGTTTATATCTTTTCTTGACAGCTAAAAATAGAAACAACTGCCGGCTTTCTGACCATTTCAATTTTCACCCATACACTTACTCAACTACATGCCAATAGGGAGCCTCTTTCTACTGTGACTTTAACTTATTCATAAAGAATGCATACTTTTGATCCTCATATTTTGTACATTTGCTCAGAATTGAAAGGTTACATGAGGATGATTACGCTAATAAAGCTCTAAAGTCACTGATGAATATTAAAAGTAGCAATGCAAAGAAGGCAAGAAGATAAATACTTTTACTTATAAAACTAGGAATGTATATGCATTTTATGCCAGGCTTTATAACCATTGGAACGGCTACAATAAGGTTGGCAGATCCATTTGACTCATTTCAGTTGCACATATCAGCATTTCAAAACACCAGTTTTTTTAAGTAATTTACTTAAATTTAAAATTAAAATATTTGTATTTTTCAAATAAATGTTTTTCAGAATACATAGTGTTAAAAAGGAGGCATTGTTTACAAATGCTAAGTCGTGCAACTTTGTTTTGTAACATGCTGTTATTATTTGACTGACACATTTTCCTTCTTGTTTACTTGTCTGCATTATTACAACTTACACTTATAATTTCTTCTTTGCTGACTTTGCCCGTATGAAGAATGTTTAGGATTGATATAACATAATTTTATTATAAACATTTCTAAAAATGCAGATATCGGTTACTGTTTCTGTGTGTGTGTGTGTGTACACACGCACATACATAAATACACACACACACATATATATGTTTACATATGTGTAAGTGTATTTTGAAAGAGGCGAATGCTCAAAGACAACTTATCACAAACATCAGAAAGATACAGTCATCATTTTTTGGTCATGTTATGAGAAGAGGGAAAAATAGAACATAGAAGATTGTGGAAAGAGAGACAGGGGAAGACAGCTTGAGAAGTTCTTTTGTCGTGGCGTGTAGGGGTGTTAGCACACAAACTGATACACTTAGTTGCAGATTGTAGACAGGCATGATTGCCCACTCAGCAAGGTCGATGCAAGGCACTTGTTAATTGATTCCTTCGAAGTGCATGCAAGAGGCAAGGAACCAGAGTCTGTCAGATCAGATCTGTAAAACAGATGCACACACAACACTTATGTTCTGGAACAGGACTGCAGTCCAGAAGTGGATGAACAGTCAGAACTTTCCGCCAAAGTTTACAGCTGGTGAATGCTATGAAGAAGAAGAAGAAGAAAAATGATATATCACATAGCAATATTTCCTACTTGTAGTAATTAGCTTTACTAATTTTATAAATTTCCTCCATTATGATAAACTGTCCTGTTGTCTTCTGAGAACATTTTCCTCTTCTTTATAACCTAAAATCTATTTTTTAAATGTGTATATGCAACAGGTACCTGTTTTGTATTTATCATACTAGTATGGGCATCTTAATCTTAATACACATTTCACAGTATGAATGAACTATGAAATATTTCTTTTGTGCATAATGTACATTGAAACTTCTGATATGGAGTTCTGTGTGTGTTGGGTTTTGGGTCTGTTCCTCCCTCAACTGTTCCTCCCTGGACTGTATAACTGAAGCTAAACATATCTAACTGTAGAGCCTAGAACTAATGTTTTTACTGTACAATTCATATGAAGGTTGTCTCCATCTTTAGTGAAAGATTCTTTTGTTGAAGCTTATCATGTGGGTTTGTTTGTCATTTTAGACATTATGTTCGTTTTTTTATCAGTTAATCCAGAAAGGATTGTAAATTTAATAATGTGAAAGCTGTGACTAGGAACACAGCTTGTGTAGTACTGTTAACTGATTTACTAATTACTGATGTAAGAATCAACATCATAGACAGCACACCAGACATACCCATAGATGCTCAGTCTCCCGCAGAAAATGTCTTAAGGTGTAGATGCTAACTGTTCCTATAGTGTAGAGGGAGTACTGTTTACATAATCCTGTTAAACCCATCGTGTTTATAATTGGTATACTTAAAGTTTTTTTTTTTTTTTAGGTTTGGATATTTGTGCATACTTTTGATTATGTAATATGTGATAGGTTACAAATTAATTGAAAATGATTGTAGCAGTATAGTTTGTATAGGCTAATATATTTGGAGTGTATTTTAAAATCATGTTGATTAATAATAATTGTTGACATATGTGCAGTTGTTGATAGTGCAGGATTCTCTGTTTCAGCCTCACTATAGTCATGACATGACACCTGACTTTTGTTGTTTTAATGATGCCACAATTACATTAAATTCAACACATGTCCAGTCTGTGTTTATTGATGGTCAACTTTCTATGTAATCAAGGGTTATGTTTTTTGTGTCTTGTTGTTTTCAGATGTTATAATACTTTCCAAACATTCAAGTTTTTAAAGTAAATTGTTTGTGTCCCAAAACATTCCTGGGAGAAAAGCTAGATGAAAATAATATGCTCATATAGGAAAACACTGTATGGGTCTTTAATATATTTCTTTTTGATAGTCAGGTGTTTGCTTCAAATGATGAATATTCATGTAATAGGGAACGATTTACTGTATAAAAATAAAGATGCATGCAGTCGTGGGATCCAGGCTGCTTGCAGTCGTATGACCTAGGCTGCACTCTCTCGTGGGACCTAGGCTGCACTCTCTCGTGGGACATAGATGCTTTTAGGCCCAGTTCTAGATGTTTTGGGGTAGTTAAAAGCATCAGAAAGCCGGGAATCCCGCTCTTGCCATGCTAGAAAAATATTGGACTATTCTGTGACGTCATCCTGGGGGAAATTTTTGGAAAGTACCAAAATGTTTTAAAGAACAAACAGTTTAGTAAAGGATCCATTTCTGCTTCTTAATCCTGTCATCCAAAAAAAACCCATTTCCCTGCATATTTGGATTTTTGTCGATGTGAAGTGTTTGGACAGTGTTCACTACGCCCATATAACAGCTACCCGTCATTACATAAAGCAGAACAGAATGTGAGTTGTTAGCCTAAAACAATTGAAGACATGCTCAGAAGGAAGTCGGTGCACTTTTGGTCATGTATA